AATCAGAATAAAGTAATGGCATGATATTGTAAATATTTACAACTAAATTTAAATAGAAACTTGAAAATTTGGCTCGACTTGAAAAAATTTCAAGTCAACTCCAACTTATAAAATAAGACTCGTCAACTTGAATAACTTAAAATTTTTTGACTTGACTCGATCGAACGCTCACCCCTACTTGCAAGAAGCCAAGAAAACTAAAACTACACTCAAGGAATCAAAACTAACCGCTATAATCACATTCTTTCAGCATCCTTAATTTCCTCGAATCTTCTTATCACCTCACTCCTAGGTGCTTTGAATTAAAACCTTAGTTAGGAGTCTTGTTAAAATCCTCCCTAAACCTAATTGGAGGAAAAGAGTACTCCTACAAAAAATAAAACAACACTGCAAAGTAATCTCCATAGACAATACCACCGTCACAGAGTTCACACTAATTCTCCAACAAGAGATCTGACTCGACTATTGAGGGCATAATACTAACGTATGAAGTTCCACCAAATAACATATTAACCCCGAAATTATTAGAAATAACAGCCCTGGAGATGCTTGACTATAACCACTAGTAGGATAAAAACACATAAACTGAAGATGACTTCCCACCGGTAGGGTTGAATTTGTTGAAAAGAAGAGGAAATTTTGTGAGAGAAAACATTGAGATCCAAGCAATGTAATCATGACAGCTATGCGTTTGATCTTAGTGATAAATTGTTTTCATTAGGTGATTTCAGTTTCAACTAGTTTGTTTATTCATCATCTGATTCTGAAGAGTTGGATATTAAGTTAATTATTTTCAAGTTTCGGTCGGAAAGAAAAACCCGACTCCAATTGAGAATGTGGTGATTTCAGACTATCAAACTCTCAAATCGTCGAAAGAAATTGTAAAAGAAATTTGCAAGAAATTGTCTAAGACCTCAAGAAGTTGTCGAAAGAAAATTTTGAACAACTATAAAGCCTTATCATTTGACGCAAAAAATTAACTTATTCAAAGAGCTATAAAAATAGAAAATTTGGTGCCTAAACGTAAAGGAAAAATATCTATGGAGGCACCATCATATAATCAAAGGAGTCAAAGGATAAATAAAAAAAGAAAAAAAAACTAGCCATTAATTTTATTTTCTTTATAAATATTTATGTTTTTCAATATTTTCATTTAAAAAAATTAAAGTGAACACGACATTCCAATAGGACGAGTTCCTCTACATAGCCATTGAGATATCCATTTAAAAATTATTTGTTTTAAATTAAAGGGAATTCATCATTCTAGCAGGACAAATTCCCCCTGATATAATAGTTGGTTTTAATTATCTTTTTCTCTTTATAATGGAGCTCCCGAGTCCTGAATTACAAACCTCTTTTAAATATTGTATGATACTTGATGGATTTGTAGACCACTCAGTTGGAAGAAAAATTAAGACAGTAGTTGTTTCGATGGACATGTTAAGTCCAAACATTAATTCAATCATTACCGTAAACATATTTTTATCGGTAATAAATTTTAAATAACAAAAAAATAGATTACATTTGTGCCAAACCAAATAGACAAAAATATTAGATATGAATATTTATTGGGAAATACAAATGCAAACCTTTGTTTTTTTTTTCTTTCTTTTTTTGCAATCATGTGATGAAAGATACAAGGCCTTTACCCACAATATCTCATTTCCGCAAAACCATTTTTATCGGTAATAAATTTTAAATAACAAAAAAATAGATTACATTTGTGCCAAACCAAATAGACAAAAATATTAGATATGAATATTTATTGGGAAATACAAATGCCAAACCTTTGTTTTTTTTTTCTTTCTTTTTTTGCAATCATGTGATGAAAGATACAAGGCCTTTACCCACAATATCTCATTTCCGCAAAACCATTAAACCAATGTAAACATGATCACCAATCTTTCCAGGCTACTCATAAATGTATGTATCCCGTGGGGTATACGTACAAGCATACGATCCTCTAAGGACCCTCCAACTACATTAAAAAACTATCAGAATACCCATATTCGACATGTTTGACACTCGTATATGAGGACGAACAACCTAAAACAAGGCCTCTGCAAGAACGCAATCCATTTACCTCTAAAACAAATAACAGAGGTCCAGAATGAAAATCATCTCACACAAAAAGGTCTGGAATTCCGACTCTTAAAACAGAAAAGAAAACATACGAAACCAAGTAAACTCTCTATAGGCACACACATAAGCTCATGTGAGTTATTATATATATGCAAAAAAAAAGAGAACAATTTCCATGAATATTCCATACAGGAAACAACACCAAACCATTGACGATGTTTCATTGGATCTAAAGTGCTGACAATAACACATGATCACTACAATTCCAACAATAATAGTTCCTAGATTCAACTTCAAATATCATTCAACTTTCTGGGACATTGACTTCTATGAAGAAAAGTCAAGTAGGAGAAGCACTCCGAGTCTAGCATATATACGCACCTGCAAATTATAATATGCAAGTCAATAGAACTGCAGATAAGAGTTAACAACTAAGAAAATTTGTATGGAGTAATTTAGCACATCCACTGAAACAACAAAAAGCAACAGAAACCTAAACAAGTCATCATTATTTGAGAACACCACAAGACTATATAGTTGAGATAAAGTGCATATCAAGATACCAAATCCCATTAAATCTTTCCTCTTTTGTTGTAGCTCCCCATCCATCGTAGTGTTCAAAATCAATTTGATGCACCTCCGGCTGGCCGACATAAAATACGTGACTCGCGTTCTTGTCTCTTCCATTTATCAGAACCAAGCTCTCAACATAAGCAATAATCTACGTTGTTTCTCGATAAGCATTTAAACTGAGATTTTTAAGCTCTCGTGTGGAGGGGGTCAAACAACACCAATTCATCATCAGAGCTCTCAATAAAAAATTCATCGTTTCTCCAAAACCCCAAAGGCCTATGAACTCCAGGAACATATTCAACACTGAAATGTTTAGTCCATTATCCATTAATAACACACAAATCAAAATACATATTAGTTCATTCCCTTGGATAAAAAATAGCACCAAGCAATCCATTGAAGTCCAAAAGCAGCAAATAGTATTGTGCTAAAGTCTCACCAAATTCAGGCTGTGGTAAAGTTGAAAACTTTTCATTGACCTTATCAACCGAAAGAATAAGGTCATCACTCATCAGAATCCCCAACTGCCTCCCTATAACACAACTTGAATCACTTTTAAGGGAATATAACTCGACTTGGTTGTTCCAATCTTCCATCAGCCCTTTAACTAGATTATCTTCAAAGTAGTTAGTAACAAATCTTACAAATTTGAAGTTATCAGTTTGAGAATCATACCCAAAACCAAGGAAGCCAAATCTAGTAGAATCTACTGCAGGAGGTTCTACAGGTGCTCTTTCAATCCATATATTTTGCTTCGAGACAATAGTTTTCAACTTTGTTTTATGTTTTCCCTTTAAAGATTCAGCAAGAAGTATAATTTAACGCACCTGTTATGAGATTCTAAGTAACATAAATATCGGGTATGAATATTTTTAGAGAAATACAGATCTACGTAACATGCCAAACCTTCTTTTATTCTGCAGTTATGTGATGCATGGTACAAGGCGTATCTCGCTTCATATAGACTATCAAACCAATGAGCACAAAATCTGTCCAAAATCTCAACAGGTAGGTATCTCGTATCATGCGTTCATACATTTAGGGAAATAGGTACGAGAATATTATCCTCTAAGGACCCTCCAACGACATGAAATAACTATCAAAATACTCATATTCGACACTCACATCCAAGCACGAACAACCTAAAACAAGACCTCTGCAAGACTGCAGTCCATTTACCTCTAAAACAAATAATTGAGGTCAAGATTGAAAATCATCACAAACAAAAAGGTCTGGAAAAACAAACATGAAAAACCAAGCTAATACTTTATATGCACACATAGAAGCTCATGTGAATTATCATATATATGCAGAAAAAAGACAACAATTTCCAGAAATATTCCACAAACACTTTCAAGAAGGTAGTGTTAACCCATTTACCCCTGCAAATACCCTTAACAATGGCATCACACAAAACAAGACCAAACCATTGACACTGTTTCATTGGATCTAAAGTACAAATAATAATAACAATAGTACCTACTTTCAACTTTAAATTACATTCAACTATTAGGAACGTTGAGCTCTCAGAAGCAAATTCAGGTACAAAAAGCACTCCGTGTGTGGCATATATATGCACCTGCAATCATGATATGCAGGTCAATAGAACTGCAGATCAGAATTAACAACTAAGAAAATATGTAGGACATAATTTCGTGCATCCACTAAAACAACCAAAAGCAAACAAAAACCTAAAGAAGTCAATACTAGGGCATGTATATACAATTCAAACAGTAACAACAATATTTGAGAACATCACTAGACACTATAGTTGACATAAAGTGCATAGGAAGAGACCAAATCCCATTAAATCTTACCTCTTTTGTTGTAGCTCCCTATCCATCTTAGTATTAAACATCAATTTGATTCACCTCCGACTGGCCGTCGTATTATACATTCCTCATGCTCTGATCTTCCATTCAATGGAACCAAGCTCTCAACATAAGTAATAACCTACATTGTTTCCTGATAAGCGTGAATACCATGATTTCTAAGCTCTTGTATGGAGGGATCAAATAAAATTAGTTCTTGATCCGAGCTCTCTAGAAAAAACTCGCCATTTTTCCAAAACCGTAAAGGCCTCTCAACTCCAAGAACATATTCGTACTTAATTGTTTAGTCTATGACCCATTCATAACCCATAAATCAAATGACTTGTCAGTTCCTTCCCTTGGGTGAAAAATAGCACCAAGCAATCCATTGAAGTCCAAAAGTTCCAAATAATATTGTTCTAAAGTCCCACCAAATTTAGGTAGTGGTGAAGTTGAAAACTTTTCATTAACCATATCAAGTGAAAGAATATGGTGATTAACCCCAACTACTTTCCAATAAATAAACCCATTGAGTTAATTATTAAACAAAGTAGAAGCAAAAGCATAAACCCCAGTAAATGGAATTTCCTTCCATGAATCATTTTTAAGCGAATATAGCTCAACTTGTCTGGTCCAATCTGCTATCAACCCTTCATCTAGATTCTCTTCAAAGTAATGAGTAACAAATCTTATAACTTTGAAGTCATCGGTTTGAGAATCATACCCAAAACCAAGGCAATTAAAACTAGAGAAATCCAGTAGTCCAGGAGGACGCTGGACTGTGGATTGAGGAAGAATTTTAAACTCTCTGGTAGATGGGTTCTGATGGGAAACAATACGTCCAATACCACCTAGATATCCTAAACACAATATTCCATTACATGGGCCATAAATAAAAGGTGCATGCACAAAATTATCAAAAAAGGGTAAGTGAATATAGTGTTTTACTCTAAAGTTTTGGTCTTTCTCGGTCGAAAGTTGAGAGAAATAATGGATGTCATCACGGGTGTCACCATGACAGCGTTTGAGGAGGATATTTAGTTTATTGTTTTTGAGGTTGTTCTGATGATGTTTGGTAATGAAATGAGGGTTTTCAAAGGATGAAAACCAGTGCTTACAAACGCACCTGAAACAGGACAAGGATTTAACAGGAAGCTTTGTGAGAATCTACAAAAATCAACATCTCTGGTAATTTGATTTTAGTTTTGATCTTGTATCTTCCCTCTTTATCTTCTGTATCTCCTTTGTGTTTTTAATAGATGATTTTGTTTGGGGAAAGACGATGAGAACTAATATGAAAGATAACGAAGACATACAAAACTTGTAACAGGTAACATCAAAGTTCTTCTGTAACAATAAAACTACAATGGAAACTTATCATTGATTACACTACTTTGATGGGCCTGGTCGAGCCCTTTTAAAACCCATTAGTTTATCATAGACAGGGTTTGCACAATATTGACTATATACAATATATTAGTATTTTAAAATAATTAAAATAATATATTTAATAATAATATATCTATAATAATTTATTATATTTTAAATGATTAAAATAATATATTTATAATAATTTGTTACATTTTTACTTTTAAAAAATATATTTTAACATTATAAAAATAAAAACCTATAAAACTTTAAATATATTATAAATATAAATGAGTAAATTAACAATTTATATAAGGTTGGGTTGGATCAGTGATTTTTTACCTGAAATATAGTCTCACCCCAACTCGAAGTTATCTATTATGTAACCCGTCATGCCGCAAACTTGAAATTTCAAAAGAAATTGTTTTTTTTCGTAACAAGAAAATAATAATAGGTGACACTACATTGATGGGTCTGGTCGAGCCTTTGGTAACTTCTAAAATCCACGAGCTTAACATAGGTAGGGTTGGAACAATATCATTTCGTTAACAGATGAAATATCAAATAATTATTATGAATTTTATTAAGAGTAAAATATATGAGTGATATCTTACGTTTTTATCCATTTAGTTTTTGTCACTGGTTTAAAAAGTTTTTTGTTTTGGTCACTTTTATCTTTGGTCCTTATTGTTAGTAAAAATAGTTAAATTTTAATTTGACCTATGAATTTAGACCAAATATTAATTTGACCTTAAAATTTACATAAAATACTAATCAAACTCTTAAACTCTATATAAAATATGAATTGACTCCTAAATTCAGTCAAAGTTAACGTCTCTACTCGCCACTCATCGTCGCTATCGTGCACCTTCAGTTTTCATCACCATTCATCGTCGTCGGTTGTAATGTCAACATGCGATGCCATGTAAGCTTGATACTTCATCTTCATGCGTTAATTGTTTGTTGACTAATGATTTTCATCCACATAAGAACTCTTTTTTCCCAAATGAAATGTTAGAGGTTAATGTGCTTGTCTATATATAGATAGGGTCCAATTACACAATGTAATATTTGTTAGTTTTACACAGATTTAGTATAGTTAGATGAGTGAAAATAGAAGTCTGAGATTAACAATAGAAAATGAGAAGATATTCAATGAAAAAAAATAAAGAATTAATCTCATTCAACTATCTCTACTCATCCAATAGTCCAAAATATGTATATAACTAAAAATATTTTACACTCTATAAATGGATCCTAATATATATATATATATATACATATACTTCAAACCCTAAATTTTGATTTCAAGATTAATCGGGTTGTTGAAGGATTACTAAATTATCACAAATTTCAATAATACAAAACCTCTAGCCTCATGTGTTTTTTTAAATCCCTTCAGTTTAATATTGAAATCAATAACAATACTAGTCAACAATTTAATTTTTAATCCTAGTTAACAATTTAATAAAACAATACCAATCATCGTCAATTTCATTTTTAAGATTCATATTAGATGCGACAATCATGCATATTTGAGCGAGTTCAAATTTTATTTTATTAGAATTAAATAAGTTTGTAAATGAACTAAACGAACATGAACAAAAATATGTTCATGTTTGTTCGTTTAACTTTAACTGAACATGAACAACTAAAAAAATATAAATTTTTTATTAAATCATATTCAAATTTGATCTGACCAATTAACATTTGTGAATAATAATTTTTATTAAATCTATAAATGCATTTAAGATTTTTATTATTATTACTTATTCTATTAATTTTGTTCATGAAAGTTAAGGGAGAAATCATAATATCTATAAGCCAAAAGCCCATAATTGCATCATTTTCCTCTTCCAAACCTTCTGTGGTCAAGTTGATCCACATGAATTGCTTTGTCAACGAGATCCATGTGTTTTTATATATGTTTTTTTTTTTGAAAGAGGGTACTTTGTATTAAAATTCAAGGTACACCACCTCAAGGACCTCGTTAAAAAACCACCCTAACCCTAAATGAAGGAAAAAAGTGAACCAAGAGGATGAAGAGATCATATACAAGGATAACATTTACATCAAGCAATGCATACCCCAAAACACACAGCAAACCTCACACTAATTCCCAAACAATCCATGCAACAGAGAGAAATAATAGCATAAAAACGGGAGTGACCGAACAGTAGCATAAATTCCAAACCAGATAACCAGTACATAACACCAAGTCTTCATCGATCTTCGATCTAGCACGTAAAACACAAAATAAACAATCATATCTAAAACAAAACAACAAAACTTCAAAGGACAAGCATAACATAATCCGCTTCCTTTAATAACTCCACTAAGACTGGCCCTACCAAACTTGTCACTCCTACACTAAAGATTCTTCTCAGCAGAATCAAAATGACAACCAAATCCAGCCCATTAAAAAAACATCACTTGAACATAAACCTTAAAGCGTAGTAATGGTGCATACCCCTTAGGCAAGCCAAAATGACTGAGCTATTACCACCACAATGCCACATTTAAAACTACAACAAAAGCTCCGTACCTCCAATGCAACTTGAGAACTAAAAGACTAAGCATAACAAATCCAATCACATACACCCTATTATTAAAAACAAATATTCTATAAATTTGGCGAATAAACTAAAGGCAGCTTCTCCCTCGATTCGACACAAGCAGCAGCCCACCTTTTCTTCAAATCTGAATCAGAAAGGGATCTACCAGATGATTCAGAGGAGATAAGATCGGATTTCAACAAATTGAATCTCTTCCATGCTCGATCTCTTCTTTTTTCTTGGCTTTCGATAGTAATTTGTCCTGAATATCCAAAAGGGAACCAAATTTCTTCTTCTTTATTTTCTTTTTTTCCTAGAGGACAACTCTTTTTCACTTGAGTAAACAGAGTTAACCCTAACAGGAGACTTAGACAAAAACACTTCATCCGCATAATTGAATGAAAACAAATCTGCACTCGGATTCTCCAATAATCTTTTACTAATGGAAAGAGATTGGGTCTGCCTTAGATCAACAGCTCTAATAAAATCCAAGCACCTAATACTATCGTAAAAAACCTTGAGCTTAAGCCCATCAAGAGGCATGATCGGCACATCATGCACCTGCATGATACCTTCGATAGCATACTTCCACCTCAGACCCACCGTGCGCCCTATTAATTACTTCCAAATCATTGGAAATTCTGCTCCTCAAACAAACTGAATCATGCACAGCTGCCCCACTAGACAATGACGGGAAATTAGAATTAAAAATAGAGAAAATAACCTCAGTGACCGAAAATGTCTTATAATATACGATTTTAACCAACTTTTTTTGGATTTGCCAAAAATGACCAACAAAATCGCAACGCGAACTCTAATTTTTCAACTCAGTTTCCAAATTCGCAACGCGATTTTGAAAAATGTGTTGCGATAGTTAAAATGTGTTGCGATAGTTAAAATGTGTTGCGAGAGTTTGAAAAACGTGTTGTTGTGATAGTGAAAAAGTGTTGCGATAGTGAAAAATCCAAAATAAGTTTACATTTTAACTATTCCAAATTTACGTGGAGTTTGAAACAATAAAGAATGTGTTGCGATAGTGTAAAAGATTCCCAAGTGTTTGCAATGCTCAATCCCACATAGTATTGGAAACACTATTGGGAATGGGTATTTAAGGCTTGGATTTCTCACTTCCTTGTTGAGTGGAAGAGAACAAGGGGGACTCTCGCGCACCGTCGCCGCCGCCGTCTCGTCTCGTCTCGGGTCGTGGTCGTGGTCGTGGTAATACGTGTCTTCGACACGTCCGCGCGGATACTATCTTTTTAGAGAAAATTCTTAAGAAACAAATGCAATACCAAATCGCGTTGCGATAATCAGAATCGCGTTGCGATAGTCATTATCGCGTTGCGATTATGTTGATCATTTTGGCAAATCGAAAAAAAATCGATCAAAATCTTATATTATAAGGCATTTTCGGCCACTGAGGTTATTTTCTCATAAAAATAAAATCATCTTCCCATAAGCTCTTCAATTCTAGGAACAACGACTACTTTATCAACACCTGGAAACCACTTTCCACCTTCATCGTGCAAGGCAACAAATAATGTGGTCGACATATCATGCACCTGCACGCTAATTTCGAGTGAATCACACAATTCCACCTCTGACCCAATGTGCTCCCTATCAACTTCCTCCAAAGCAATAAGCGTGCAACTCCCCTGATAAACATAAACATGCGCAGCTACCCCACTACGCAATGTCAAGGAATCTATTTCACCAGCCCATACCTCTTCGGAACAAGGAACTACGCCAACTTTCTCAACTTCTGAACACCACGCTCCACCACCCGAAAACGTTCCATCAAAGAACACTCGATTTTCTTCATGAACTTCCTCCATTTGAGAAGGCAATCCAGCACATGCAACCAACTCGGAAGACTTTACTGGCGAGACACCGACGAGTTCCCCCACTGTGGATGACGGGGATACAACTTCCTTTTCCATCAAATAAGAATCTTCCCAAACAGATTCTGGGCTGAAACAAGGTTCAAACTCAGAAACATAAACTGTAAACATTTGTTCCCCTACTTTCAATTCAAAGGATTCTTCCACTCGTGTTTGGCAATTCGTAATAATCTGAAATAACACCCTATCAAACGATACGGGATTTAAGGTCCCTTCATTAATGGAGATAAGAGCTCCCCACTTTTTTGCAATGTTTCTGAAAGTTGAATGACATAACACAAAAGGTGGGATCCCTTTGCATGATAACCATGCACGTCGGCTGCTGCACTGAAAGTTTTTTTACCACACTTCCACTTTATCTTCAAAGATGATTAAAATAGCTAAACCAATGACTAGGATGATGGAAGGACTTAATTTAAACGATATTAGTTCTTTAAGTAAATTAGAACATTTAAAATTTACGGACCAATTAAAAATATGATACATAATGTAGGGATTTATAATACAAATAACATAAGTAATATTTTAGAATATCTACTCATTCTCAATTTCTAACATTGAGGGTTATTAATGATATCTATTTTTTACATTTATAATCGAGAGTTCCTGATTTAGGTTATATAATTATTAAAGTAATAAATTTTACTTTCATTTTATGGAGCCTAAATTAAATATTTTATTCAATCAAAACAATATTTTATTCAAAGATTTATTTAATTATCGTCTAATCTGATACGACAAAATTTATTATAAAAGCCTTGATTATTTTTAAAAAAATACTTTATAAAAGCAGGTCTCCTAATTTTGGGTTGATTAAGATTACATTAACATAAGAAAGTACATGTCATTATCAACATTAATTTTCTTTTACTTCCTATTCTTTGAGGTTAATTTTTTTTCCATTAGTGCATGCTGATGAAGATACATGAGGAAAATTAAATAAAACTATCAAAGAATGGATTTGATTTAAATTGATATATTATTTTATTATTTATTATTTTTATAATTTAAACACTTTTATATTTTAAAGTTAATTTTATTATTTATTACAAATATCATAACTTTGAAGGTTTATTGCAGCCTTTATTCAAAGTTTTTATATAGGAAAAACTACATAATCTGTCAATTTGCAGGGGCTTGTAGTTTTACCATTTTTAAATGGCAATTTATGTGGACAATTTTGAATCTTCTTAATCATTTGGGAAGACGAAGTCGGTCGAGCGTAACACAAACGAATCTCCCACAGTTGCAGTCCTCCAGTTTTGTTTCTGTTACAAGCAATTTCAGGTGAAGCTTTTGCGAGGTTCTGAATTATTTTTATAATATCTTGAACCATATAATTATTTCCCGGTGTAAGTCCCATAACTGAATCAATCAAAGTAAGAAACTGTGTTAGGAAGATGATTTATCAACTATTTAATCTTAAAAAATGTTGTATACATATAGAATAATACTAATAATAATATGATAATGAAACCCATAGAAATTACATCATTCCAACTTTTCAACCATCTTATACATAAACTCAATAACAGAAGATATAAAAGCAAGTACAAAGGAAACATATTCACCTGGATTTGTTAAGCCTTGTCTAAGCGTTAAGGCAGAATTGAAGTACTCTAAAGGGTTATTAGGGTAATCAGAACATATTCCATGCTTAAACCATTGAGACTCCCAAAAGCCAGTACCCGATTGAGTAGAGTACTTCAAGTCCGGCCATAATGATATTAAGTTGCTTTGAATTAGATTTAATGTATTCTAAATTAGAGAAAAATACGTTAGATCATATATATAAATTTAAATAAAAAAAAGTTAATTAAAAAGTTAATGGGATGCTTACTCGAACTGCTCTTCGTGAAGTAATGGGTGCCTTATAACAGGGATTAGTGGCTGCGCTGTAAGGGGGAATCGGAACGTCGTTGGCATCTTGAGGCCATATACCATGGATGGTTAACACAGACGGGATGGGAGTACCACAAGCCATGCCACCGGAATTACACACAGCAGGAGGCCATTGGAGACTGAGTTTATAAAAATGTATGGGGGGTTGAGCTGTAACTAGAACTAATAAACAAATCACCAAAACAACCACCAACTTATAATTCAACAACATTGTTACAATCAATACTCTCACAATCAACATTCACTATGTGTATAATATTTACAATGGTCAGTTCCTTTTTATATTACAAATGTAGCATCAAACTTGTTTCTGTTTCAGGTTCTATTTCAGTCTGTTATATTGAAAATGTTGCATCAAACGTGTTTCTATTTCAGTCTGTTTTAAGTGGGATACGCCTTTGTTTCAGTTTATTCAGTCTGTTTGTAGTTGTGGCATACACATGGTTTCCAGTTCGAAAGTTAGGCAGCAATAATTTCCAGCCCTTAAAACCCAAACATCACATGTAATTTAATAAAATATAAGATTTAATTATCACATGTTATGCAGTTTGGCAGCAGATGTGATTAATCACGCATTTTTAAACCATTGGATAAAATTAAAGTCCATTTACAAGAACCCTTTAACTAGATTCTCTTCAAAATAGTTAGTAACAAATCTTACAAATTTGAAGTTATCAGTTTGAGAATCATACCGAAAACCAAGGAAGCCAAATCTAGTAGAATCTACTGCAGGAGGTTCTACAAGTGCTCTTTCAATCCATATATTTTGTTCGAGACAATAGTTTTCAACTTTGTTTTATGTTTTCCCATTAAAGATTCAGCAAGAAGTATAAATTAACGCACCTGCTATGAGATTCTATGTAACATAAATATCGGATAAGAATATTTTTAGAGAAATACAGATCTACGTAACATGCCAAACCTTCTTTTATTCTGCAGTCATGTGATGTATGATACAAGGCGTATCTCGTTTCAGATAAACTATCAAACCAATGAGCACAAATCTGTCCAAAATCTCTACAGGTATCCTGTAAATGCTATTCGATTCTGCAGGTATCTCGTATCCTGTGTTCATACATTTAGGGATATAGGTACGAGAATCTGATCCTCTAAGGACCCTCCAACGACATGAAAAAACTATCAAAATACTCATATTCGGCACTCACATCCAAGCACAAACAACCTAAAACAAGACCTCTGCAAGACTGCAATCCATTTACCTCTAAAACAAATAACTGAGGTCAAGAATGAAAATCATCACACAAAAAGATCTGGAAAAACAAACATGCAAAACCAAGCTAATTCTTTATAAGCACACATAAAAGCTCATGTGAATTATCATATATATGCAGAAAAAAGACAACAATTTCCAGAAATATTCCACAAAGAAACGCTTTCAAGAAAGTAGTGTTAACCCATTTACCCCTGCAAATACCCTTAACAATGGCATCACACAAAACAAGACCAAACCATTTACAATGTTTCATTGGATCTAAAGTACAAATAATAATAACAATAGTACTTATGTTCAACTTCAAATTACATTCAACTATTGGGAACGTTGAGCTCTCAAAAGAAAATTCAAGTACAAAAAGCACTCCGTGTGTGGCATATATATGCACCTGCAATCATGATATGCAGGTCAATAGAACTGCAGATGGTCAACTACGGATAACCTCATTTAGAATTTGACTGTTGGCAGTAACGAGAGAAGTTAGAGAGAGAGTGAGTGAGTCTTTCAAGCGTAAGTTCTCTGTCGATAATTTTAGAGAGGTTCATGGAGGAGTTACTTGGTCAGTTTTTATCGATAATCTTAGTAGGCAAGTGAGACGCAGTGATTTATGGGTTCGTTTTAGTCATTATGGTAAAGTCATTAAGGTGTTCATTCCTCTTTTCAATAATAGGCCGAAGTATAAGGTTAATACGTTTGCGTTTGTCCATTTCGGAAGCAAGGAAGATCTGTGTCATGCAGTGGAAAAGATGAACAACGTCATGATTAATGGGAGGAGAATTTCAGTGTCTGTATCTAAATATAAGAAACCTTCTGGGTTGAGGAGGCAGACTGATGGGGGGATGAGGGAGCAAATAGTGTTGGTATTAGAGGGAAAAAGGTTGAAAGATTGTCGTCTTCAGTTGGAAGGGTAAGGAAGTCGGAGATGATGAATAGGTTTCATGATGGAAGGTCATTTAAAGATGCGGTTGTTGGGGTACATGAAGAGACAGAGGTTGTGCAAGAGGGGAATCTCTCAAATACGAAGGAGATGAATAACACTAGGGATGTGTTTATTCCGGTGGAGGAAAGGGCCTGGTTGAGATCGTCCCTTACTGGTATTTGCAAAGAAATTTTTGAAGTTCAAACTGTGCAGAAAGTGTTAAGGAATGAGGGCTTTAATGTAAAGGTTGTAAGGTGGGAATTTTCTAAGAATGCTTGCTTGGTCGTGTTCCAATTCGTGGAGGAGATGAAGTTAGCGATGGAAAGAAAATGAGAAGATTTGTCTTTCTGGTTTGATAGTTTGGAGCATGTGTTCGGTGAGGATAGCATTCCATTAGCTTTTTGCTCGATCTCCATGATATGAGTCCCTTTAAACTGCTGGTCAGTTCCTTTCTTTACTAGGTTGGTATCCAAGTGGGGTAAACTAGTAAAGATCAAAGAGGAAACTGCTCAAAATGTGGACTGTAGAGTGGCACAAATGCTCCTAAGGGTCGTCAGTCCTTTTGACATTCCTGATCATACTACCATTACAACGTATGGGAGGAAATTTCTGGTAAAAATAAAGGTTGAAGGTGTTGATGTGTTATTTCCTGAGTTGTCAAAATTTGTTGAAGAAGATGTTCCAGATGATCCATGGGCGGAGAGTTCTTCTAATTGGAGCTTAGAGGATGTTCAGGTGAAGCAAGGAGGCCACCTAGGACGTCAGGGGTTGTCAGAAACCCATAAAAGGGTATATGAATGGGTTCATGGCTCGAATAATAGTAAAAGTACAGAAAACAAGAGAGTTGTCTCCACTCAGCATGAAAAGTCGGGAGGCTTTTTTGTAGGGATGGATAGTGGGAAGAGTATGGGGGGAGATTCCTATGAGCTTGATTTAGTTGACAGTGAGTTTGGGCTTCAAAAAGGCGTAGGAACACTTAGGTTGAGTGGTCCGGATCAAGATAATGGTCCAATATCAATGGGACGTCCTACCTCTTGACCAAATAAAATAAAGGATCCAGTGGGTATTGAAGATGGGGTGGGGCCTGTTGTTGGTCTAAAGTTGTTAAATTCAAGAGCTGGTTCACAAGCAGGTTCTGCAAGCTCGTTATCCACGAAGACTGCTCCGGTTGCTAGGAAACTAATCAGAAGTCATAAGATTTTTTATAGTAGGTCGAAATTTAGAAAGATTTGGAATCATAATGTGCAGGATTGGAAGAATGAACGGGACGGGAAGGAGGTATCTCGAGGGGTGCTCAATGATGAGTTAGGCAGAGCCTTAATTTCTAGAGGTTGTCTTTCTGAAGTTGCTGAGGCAGCTGGGGTTTCTGTAAGTGACAATGACGGTCCTAGGGCGAGGAGAATTAACAGCAGATTTAAAAGATCCCTCATTAAGGATGCTATGGATCATGCTACTGTCTCTACATTATCTTCATCAGCCTTTCCTTTACTGGTGGAGAAAGCTATTGCTACATGGGAAATTAACTAGTTATTGGGAATATCTTTCAAGGAAGGAAATGAAGCTTTTCTAAAAAAGATTATAGAGTTGGAGAAAGGATTGATAAGATGTATATTAGACATATATTCTATGATATTTTCCTCATATTTGAATAACTAAAATTGCTTAAATCATGGATTTTGATTATATTCCATATTTTGTGGATTAGGTTGAAGCTTTGGATAAAACAAGTTCTAAATCTAATGATTAGCATGATCTTCACAAAATCCCCAAATTAAGGAGGAAAAATCAGAATTCAAGAAGTTGGCAAGACCAGAAGAGGTTTTCGCATAAGGCGTGGGCACGGCTTATTCATCCTGAACTACCGCAGAAGAAGTCTTCAGTTAAGGCGTGGGCGCGCCTTACTAGTCCATGTAACCCTAAATTAGGGCTACAAATTTACAAAGGAAAAAGAGTTTAATGACGGTTGGAAGACTCTTTTGATTTATTCTTATCTTTAGAAAAAGATGAGGGCATTTAAAACTCTTATTTTTGTGGGATTTTCTTTAAGGGAAACTTCCTTATCAAGAGTAGGAAAATCCTTATAAAAGGGGAGCTAGGACATCAAGTTTTACATTAAGTTTTCATCTTTATTTTCTTTTAGTTTTCTATCAATTATGAGTAGATAAATACTTTTGTTCCAACTGGAGGATAATTGAAGTTTTGGTTCTTCAAGGAGTGTGAGATCTAAATAATTTTCATTGTTCTTTTACTTCTTTTCTATTTATATATCTTCTATTTTTATTAAGAATTATTTCCTTGATTGATTGTGCAAAGGATCCGTTGTTCAATTATCAGGTTGATAAATTGCCATTTAGAACTTTAAATCCGTAATTGTTTAAATGTTCTAATATTAGTGGTAAAGTAACATGGTTGATTATGATTATGTTATGAAGGTATATAACCTAGTCTAAATGAATCGAGCTTGCGTATTTGTTGGCTAGAATTGGTGGTCCCTTTAGTGATTAATGTTGTTGGTGGATTAAATCTTAAGAGCTTGTCTAGTGTTGTTCATTAACTAGGGAAATAATCAAAGAGGTTCTCTTGATTATCGAGAAACTAAGGAGAGACAGGTTGTTAGAGCTTCTCAATAACCATAACCAATTTAGTGAAAAGTAGAAGATTTTATCATTGCATCTATGATCAATTCTCTGAACCAATTCTGAAATTATACCTTTAGTTGGATATTTGCTTAATATTGATTTCACTAAATTCTTAGTTTATTATAATTACTTTTTGTCTTTATTTTCATCAATTTCAAAACCCCATTTTCTTTGCTTTAATTTTCATTAGAATAAGTCTACCCAATCCCTGTGGATTCGACCTTGCTTATCACTACTACAATTTATATTTCTAAAAAGCAAGTATTATTATTTGTTGGATTCGACACCCACCAAATATTTGGCGCCGCTGCCGGGGATTGGTGTTATTTAGATTTATTTTGATGCCCCGTTCTTCTCGTGCAGGTGAACTCCAATACGATCCTGAAATCGAGAATTGGCTTATTCATCCGGCGATTCTGAAATAGAAGGAACAATGGCCAACGAAGAAAGAACTCTAAGAGAATTGGATGCACTAAATGTGAATAAACAACCGCTCTGCATTGACTACCCAACTTTGGAGGTAGCTTTTGAATTAAAATCTGGTTTGATTCATTTGTTGCTTATTTTTCATGGACTTGAGAATGAATATCCTCATAAGCATTTGAAGGAATTTCATATGGTTTGTTCAAGTATGAGACCACAAGGAGTGACTGAAGAGCAGATAAAATTGTACGCTTTTCCATTCTCGCTAACCGATAGAGCTAAAGATTGGTTCTTCTATTTACCCCCTGGTTTTGTAACTACTTGGACCGAGATGATGAGGTTGTTTCTCAATAAATTTTTCCCTACTCCAAGAGCCGCTGGTATTCGAAGGGAGATATGTGGAATAAATCAGAAAGATACTGAGACCCTTCATGAGTATTGGGAAAGATTCGAACGACTGTGTGCAACTGTCCTCAACATGGGATTTTTGAGCAACTTCTCATCCAATACTTCTATGAATGACTACTACCCATGGAGAGGAAGATGATGGGTGCAGCCAGTGGAGGTGCCATAGTGAATAAGACTCCTTACGATGCTAGGGAATTGATCTCCATCCTCGCCGCCAATTCACAACAATTTGGCTTTAGGCAAGACATCTCTTCAAGAAGGGTGAATGAGGTAGGTTCGTCCTCCATTGAACATCAATTATCGCTTCTCACCTCCATTGTTCAGCAACTAGCTGTAGGAAAAATACAACAAGTGAAAGCTTGTGGGATATGTGATGCGATCGGTCACTCAACCGACACGTGCCCTACGCTTCAAGATGATTCTCATGAGCACGCCAATACAGTTAGAAGGTTCCCCGATACACCACAAAGGAAGTATGATCCTTACTTAAATACCTATAATCCAGGATGGAGGGATCATCCTAACTTCAACTATGGACCGAGACCATCGTAATTCCAGCATTTTCCTCTTGAGCAGTCTTCTTCAAAGCCAGGTATGTCTCTAGAAGAAATTGTCAAATCACTTGCAACTAATACACAACAATTTCAGCAAGAGATAAGAACAAATATGCAAAATTTGGAGAATCAAGTGAGTCAATTGGCATCCTCTGTGAGTCGGTTGTTAATCCAAAGCAAAATGCTAGTGCAATCAAATTGAGAAGTGGGAAGGAGTTGAAGGAACCTAGTCCATTAGCACATGGGAGAACCTTAGAGGAAGAAACTGAAAAAGAAGTTGTTGCTCCCCAAACTCAGAAAAACCAACTCGAAGGCCTCAAAAGAAAACAACCGAAAGCATTGGTCATAAATTCTCCTTTTCCCGCTAGATTTTCTAAGTCCAAGAAAGAAGCAGAAGAGAAAGAAATTCTTGAGACATTTCGTAAGATCGAGGTAAATTAACCCCCAACAAGAGAATTGTGCACCAACAAGAGAAAGCTCAAGGGTAATGAGAAGATAAGTATGGGAGAAAATGTTTCAGCTGTCCTCCAGAAAAAATTACCCCCCAAATGCAGAGACCCAGGTATGTTTACTATCCCTTGTAAATTCGGCATCGTAAGGATTGAGAGAGCAATGTTAGATCTGGGAGCTTCAATAAATGTCATGCCTCTCTCTATTTACTCATCCTTGAACGTTGGACCTTTGAAAGAGACAGGAGTGATTATTCAACTAGCTGACAGATCTAATGTATATCCTGAGGGAGTTTTAGAGGATGTTTTGGTGCAAGTCAATGAATTGATTTTTCCTGCTGATTTTTATGTGCTTAATATGCAAGAAGATGATCCTTCTAAGTCAACATTAATTTTGTTAGGAAGGCCATTTTTGAAAACAACTAGGACAAAAATTGATGTAAATGATGGTACACTTACCATGGAATTTGATGGTGAAATTATTAAATTTAATATTTATGATGCCATGAGATATCCTAG